CAAAACCCCACTCAGCCCCAAAGTTCACGACCTCTTAGCCTAGCCCACCACACAGAGTTGTTTCAAGGATGAAATGGGGGGGGGGACCATGTACCCCACCTTGAGCTTCCTGGAGGAAAGGTGGGACATAGGTGCTAATAACAAAACAAGTAATTCATTTTTAGATCTGTTCAAGATGGTGGTCATTGCCATAGTCTTGTGGCAGAAAATCCCACAAGTTAACTATGTGTGTTTTACTGCCGGTCACTCTGCATTCCCCAATTTTATATACAGATGGAGGAACAGCCTTGCTCACTGAAGTGCTGCCCTGCCATAAAAGTGTTAGATGGGATGTTTCAAACCACCACCCCCACCACCCCAAAGCCTAAGCATCCTCTCTAGTCAACATGCAGGCTCATTTTAACTAACATCCCAACCTCTCAAACTAACATCCCAACCTCTTCTCTTTGATCTTTTGTTCTCCCCCTCCTCTAAACACCATATGTCACTAATGCAACAGATCAGGAACTACTTCCAGTCTGCATGTGCTCTATAGAAGTACTCTGTGCTGACATGGAGAAAAGCTTCATTTTTATATTTAGTGTGTTTCTTGGTTCCCCACCACCAATGACCATAACCCAGTGGTGAAGCAAAGGATCCTAGGTTTCATCCCCAGCATCTCCAGCTACAACTGGGAAAGACTTCCTGTCTGAATTCCTGGAGAGTCACTGCCTGTCAGTGTATACAATACTAAGCTAGAGGAACCAATGGTTCATAAGGCAGCTTCCTATGTTCCTAGGTAATGTCACAATACTTGAAATGAGTCTGTCTATACTGTATTGCACCTGACTCTTTGCAAACGTGCATTTAATGGAGAGAGAGAGAGAGAGAGAGAGAGAGAAGAACTCAAAGCTCTGGCCAACTGCAAGAAAGCAAAAAACAGAATATATCCTGCACTCTGGCAACGTGTGTGTGTGTGTGTGTGTGTGTGTGTACGCACATTGGTTTTCTGCAACCAAGAACTCTCTACATCATACTGCTTTCAATCGCCACACAGTGGGGGCTGCTTTCGGAATCTGGAATTCTAAACACAATTTACCCAGGAGATCAAAACTCAATTTTGAAAATGGCATGAACTCACAAGTGAAAATGATGATCACAAAACAGAGGGTGTAGAGTAGCCACCTGCTTCCAACTAAATGCAGCATTTTCTTCTGTGTCCAAGCACGTAAGAAGGACAGTAATCATAAAGCTATCCCTGCACAAAATATACCCATTCACTTACCATATTATTACCCGGAGAATCATACTGAAAATTGCTAGCTACAAATTTAGAAGAACAGAAATAATAATTGCAAGAAGCAGCATGGTATTAGGCCAGCACAATGAGGTCCTGTGGGCTATTGGGGGAGCCCCGAAGACGCCCAAGCTAGGGGCCCAGAAGGGGTGGGAAAGGGGTGAAGAGTCAGACACACAAATCCAGGCACTGCCATCTCACCCATAAAACCACTTGTCTTCCGTGGAAGGGTAGAGCACCACCCAGCCACATTCTCCTTCAGTGCTCTGGTCTCTGTTGCCTGGGCATGGGAACCCAGTTAGGATCACTGACTGGCAGCAAGGAAAAGACCTATTGCACAAGATGACACAGGGCTCTGCTCTTTTGAAGGTCCCAGGTCAAATCCTGGCAGCCACAGAGCTATGGAAGCCCCTCCCCTGAAACTTCAAAGAGATGCTAAGACCAGACCAATGACACAATGCTGGATGAAAGACACCTTAGCAAAGGCAGTTTCATATAATGTAGGGGTGGGGGACCTTTTTCACCCAGAAGGCCACATACCCTAAAGGGGAATCTGCCTTGCCCCACCCTCCAGCCCAAGGAACCTTAAGGAGGGTGTTGCTGCTGGAGGAACAGCTGTGAGGGGTGAGAGACTCAGTGTTGGCCAGCAGGTAAAGGCTTTCTCCACCTGTCTTGCTCCGCCCTCCAGCCCTAGGAGCCTTCATAAGGGAGCTGTTTCCAGAGGAAGAACTGAGGGGTTAGAGACTGTCTGCCATCAGGGGGTGGTTGGTTTCACCTGTGCAGCTGCACCTCCAGCCTGACAAACCTTTGGAAGGGGAGTCTCTGAAGTATGTGTGCATGAACTTAGCAGTGCTTAGTTTATTTTTTGGCTGCTATTTTGTTAAGGTTGTTTTATAGACTACAAATGCTGTATTGTTTTGCTCATCATATAATATGACCTTTGCTTTAATTGTGATGTTTAGCCCATTTTTTAAGTTGCTGCTTTGTTAACAGTGTTTTATGGATTGTAATTGTTCCACCGATTATTTGTTGATTATTGTATACGACTTATGCTGTACGTGGGATGTTCTATAATGTTATTGTATTGCTATTTATTGTTTTTAAACTGCTTTGGGATGCATCGGAATGAAAAGCAGAATAGAAATATAATAAATCAGCTTTCTGGGAGCCACATAGCAATGCTGGGTTGGACCTGATGCAAAAGTGGGCAGAACAATGGACATAACTTACTGAAGTTCAGTAAGTTATTTTCCACTCATGCAAGCCACAGGTCTACACACACACACACACACACACACACACACACTTCATTCCCCCTCTTACAGGCACGCAAGAGACATCATTATCATTCACGGACACATGCCAACCAGGCAAAAGCACTCAAAGGGGGGGGGTGTTCTGGGGAGAGATCAGAAGGCAAAACAGAGAGGTCTGGATATCATGGTTGCTTTGTATTTTCCATGGCACTTGTTTGGTAAGACTGCAACTCTTCGGTGAGTACAAACCTCCAACCCAAAGTCTGAAGGATTAGGAACACACCCATCTTCCTTCTCACAAGCTGATTACCTCCTCTTTTTCATAGTTTGCCAATGGTGCAAACCAGGAATTGCCTTCAAGCCATGATTCAAAAAGGTGGTTTGAAAGTGGGTTTGCAAGCCACAGTTTGGAGACAATAATCAGCACTCAGAGGGCTAGAACAAGCAAGCAAAGTGATATGTTCCTAAGCCTCCAAACTGTGATTGGCACATGACGTCTAAATCAGACCTTAACGCGAGAACACACAGGTGTAAACTTTGCCACGGCACATTTAAGCCTCACTGCCCTTCGTATCAAGGAGATCAGGGCCGACATATCTGACTATTTTAATCCCTTTCAGCAGCAGCTGTGACAATTTCAATTATCATTTCCTATATGAAAAGGATATTTCTGATTCTAGCAATTTATATCACACAAGCGAAACTGAAATTGGCAGCTAACCCAAGCTAAACCCAGACAGGCATTAGCATACTACTTTAGTTCAGAATTAAAACATTTTTTTGTTTTAATGCTAGAATTTATTTGGAGTAAATTATAGGGGGGCCATCTGGAACTTGCCTGCAGAGCTGTGGACTTAAAGAAGGGTTTAGCTGGGAACACCAATTCCCATATTTACTTACTAATAATTTTAAATTGGTGAGATTAAATCCTACTCGCTTTCTACTTCCATCCGACTGAAGACAGCTAAAGAAGAAATCCTTCTGCAAAGCCACAAGCAAGGATGAGAAAACCCTTTAATGAAAGCTTCCAGGAGAGCAGCCTTGTTTGCTTTTTTATGCAAAGGAGAGTAGGAACACAGGGAGCTGCCTTACACAGATTCAGACTACAGTATTGGGTCCATTTAGTTCAGTAATACCTATACTGACTGGCAGCAACTCTCCAGGGTTTTTCCAGACAAAAGGCTTTTCCCACCAGCCCCACCTGGAGTTGCCAGGGATTGAACCTGGGAACCTTCTGCATGGAAGGCAAATGCTCTGCCATAGAGCTAAAGCCCCCACTCTACCCCTGCCTTCAGCCAAAAGCCTTTACGGAGTCTTGTGGCACCTTAAAGACTGAAAATATCATAATAAACACTTGATAATTTTATTTGTCTTTAAGGTGTCATGAATAGCAAGAGAAACATGATTCTAGCAGAATTTGGGGAATTATTATTTTTTCACTTTTATCATGTTATGCTCCCTGAATACTCTATCCATTTGTAAGCTCAATCCACCCTTCAAATGCACATTGTCCTGGTTCACACGTACAGTAAGAAATCAGCATATGTGCGCATTTGATTACCGGCAGGTGAATGTTAGAAAACACCTTTCAGTGCTGAATGCGCCCTTTATATGACGGAAGAGCATTCACAGCCTCATAGTAATACTCTGAAAGGAAGCACCCAGAATAAAATGGCCCAGGAATGCATGAATTAATGATGGCCACATTCAATCCCAACATTTAAAGCAGTATCACACCACTTTAAACAACCATGGCTTCCCCCAAAGAATCCTGGGAACTGCAGCTAAGGGTGCTGAGAGTTGTTAGGAGACACCCCACCCCATTCCCCTCACAGAGCTACAATTACCAGAGTTCCCTAGGAAGGATTGGTTGCTGAACCATTCTGGTACCTGTAGCTCTGTGAGGGGAATAGGAGTCTCCTGAGAACTCTCAGCACCTTTAACAGACTGATTTCCATAACTCTTTGGTGGAAGCCCTGTGCTTTAAATATATGTCGGGAAGGTGGTTGATGTCTTTGTGCTCTGAGTGGGTCCCATGTGTCACATACTAATCCCACCCATACTCCTATGTTGTGCCCTCCAGATGTTTTAGACTACAACTCCGAACATCGCTGACCATTGGCCTTTTGTAGTCCAGATCATATGGCAGCCACCCAGATAGGGAAGGCTGTTTAAGCCCATATTCTGCCATACTGGGACTTTAAGATACAGGGGTGGGGGAGAAAGGAAGAGCTTGCAGCTGAGTAGTAGAGTATGAACCCTGCAAGCAGAAGGCCTCACCTTCAGTCCATAGCACCTCCTGTTCAAAGGATCACAGGCAGGATGACTCACCTAAGGCAGAGGGCAGACAATCCTGACTTGCATGGAACCAAAGTCTAGCTTGGTACAAGGTGCCTTCGCATATGCTCCTATACGAAAGACATATCTCCCAACTCTGAGACGCTCAAAGACTTGAGAAATTGACTCACCAGTGAAAAGGAAGAAAATCAAGACCATGATCATTGTATATCCGAAGTATAAAATGGTGCTGGCAGTTCCTGTGATCTGAAGTTTTGAGAAGAAATAATGGACTGCGTAGATGAAGAGATAGACGGCGGTGAAGCTGCTGGTTAAGAATGACCTCCACCACCAATGATAATCCTAGAGGCAAATCAAAAGAGGTTGAGAGGCAAGGAAAGCATGAAAGACCCCCCAAAATGCTTCCCATGTTTATTTAGTGGACCAGCTTTAAGCTGTCCTTGCACCTGTCCACACTTCCTAGTCTGAACTATGCTTTATTAGATTTGTTTCCCAGAATTCTATTTCACAAATTCCTGCAGGACAAATCTGGCCTACCAAGCCTGAACTGCCAGCCCCTGCAAAATCAGGTGCTTCTTCGGTTTGCCCTTCTCTTCCTCCTCCTGACACTGTCCTGTTGCTGCATCTTACCAGCCAAGAAAACTCACATCAACACTGCTATGAGAGCAAAATGCTGCAAAGGAGAGGTGAGATGAACAGTCTGTGCCTACATGTTTTTCTCTGTGGGAATGTGTCTGCATGTAAGTTTGGGTGGGTGGGTGAAAAAGAGAGATGTGTGCCTGCGCATTTTAGAGACAGAGAAAAAGCTGATCACCCCCAGCCTAGTGCCATTTGACCAAAGAGCTGTTCTTCTTCACAGCCCAGGTGCACAACAAACGGTTCAGAACCCAGTTTGTGGCTCACCCATGTTATCTAGAAAACTGAAACTAATTCCTACACTTAAGAGCTTATTTGCATGGCAGGCTTCAGGTATCTTTACTCAATACAGCTGGTTCCACAAGGCATCTGTTTGCAGCTTGCCTAAACCCCCAAAATCTGTCTACCACAAGTATGAGAATGGAGTGTTATAGACTGTCCACATAATGAAGCAACATCTCTGTGACTCCGCCACTAATATCAGCACCAAGATAAAACACCACCACTTTTATATTACAAAATCTGCATATATTTGCATGACTTTTTTTCTGCTGCTCCTGCAGGTCATGGGGAGGAGTTTAGTGCAATCCACCAAAGCTTTGACCAGTCCATCCCTTTGGCTTTCAAAATCATCACGAAGCCTATACACTTTCAGAACTAATGTCACATTACACCCTCTTCCCTTTAGTTAGGGGCAAGATCCCAAAGGGATCTGCAACCAGACTTGCAATTCTTTCTTTGACTAGCTAAACTACGGCTTTCATGGAGCCCTAAATAAAAAGTAATTTTCAGGATGGAGCTACTTAGCAAGGGAACGGGACACAAAGATGGCAAATGTAACAAGGGGACAACCTATGCTTTTTGGGTTTTTTCATTCCAGCTGGTATGCAGATGCAATCGCATCTTGATGATACATTACAAAGACTGATTTGGCATGAAAGCTGCAGCAGTCTGTTACGTTGGCAACAGCAAATAGAAAGGGAGGGGAGCCTCAGTTTCACTCCCCATCCCTTGGCATCTTGGCCTACTGCCACTATGCAGAAGTGTTATCCTCTGCCGCTACTCCTAAACAGTTGCCCTCACAGCCAAGCTGCTTATTCCACAGAAAGGAATCCAGGCTTCCCAAGCACAGCATCACCCACTGTCCCTTCCTACCAGCAGGTCTACTACGCACAGCTGGCAGCCACAACATGCATAAATCTTTCCAACACAATGGGGCACTGATGCACCAGCAAGCTGCAGGTGTTGGCTCAGCCTCCCTGATGCTGCCAGCTGGTGGTTGATTCCCGTCCAGCAACATACTAAGCTTGGCAACGGAAGTGGCAGGTCAGTTTTACCTCGGCACATAGATGAAAATAGCACAGCAAGACCGTTGCTTCTGAGCATGTAATCAGGAGGATGATAAAGACTAAGAACAAGAAGCCAAACATGTAGTACATCTGGTGAGACCTGGAATGAGAGAAGTCACTGGGTCAACCTTCGCCCAAGATCTCTGCACCCACCCTCCTTTCTCAAGGTTCAGCATCATGAAGGCCTAACAAGGACTGCAGGTGGCATTGTCACAGCAGGAAGAGTTCCAGCCCGCCACCTGCCCCAGTTGGTTAAAGACTACAGTTCATGATATGTTTAATGCCTGGCAATTAGGCTGTGGTTTTTGAGAATCCAAAGCCTCAAATTCTCAGCCAAACAAGTTTCCCTCTGTCAGGTTCCCATCTCTCACCTACATGAACTCAGAAGCCAACTTATGCACCTGTGCTTCTGAATAAGTTGCTGTTCTGTACACAGATTACAAACTGGAAGGCAATGGGTCCAGAACAGTGACTCAAACAAACACACAACAGCTTCAGGGTGTGATTCAATTTTAGAACCACTTTCTAAGTATGCAAGATCCTCTCTGGCTCCTTTTGTGGCTCAACTGAAATTCTATATAAAACATTCTATGGGACTTTATAAATAAACTTCCAGAATTGGATAACATCAACTACTGAATGATATATTTGTTAGTTTGGATGTTGCTTCATTGTAAAATATATACTTTTTCCTGCTCTTTTTGTTCCTTTCCCAAGTTTTTTTGATGTCCCTCCCCTTTGGGGGGCATTTGGGAGCTGTATTTCAGCAACATCTGTATTTCACTGCACTCTCTTCCCTTCAGTTAGGGGCAAGATCTTTAAGGGATCTGCACCCAGACTAGCGCCTGCTGTTTTGAAGAACAAATGAATGACCAAACCCCAGCAGGAGGCAATGGGAAGGAGACAAACCCAGAGCAGTAAACCATGCAGAGAGCCAGCAGGCAACCTCTTCTATAGATGGGTGCTTTGGGCCCACACAGCAGCCTTTCTTCATTTAATTATTTCTCACAAAGAAACAGCAGTGTGCCTGGCATGTAGCTTGGTAATTTCGAGTTCAGAAAAGGGGGAGATACTCACCAAATGCTGTTTAAAATGAAGAAGAGCTGGATAAAGATACACCCAAAGGGGAGGATGCCTCCCATGATGATGCCCGGAAGAGGCTTGGTGAAAAAGGACTGCTCCGGGATTTGACGAGGAATCTGGTTTGTACGCACTGGGTGCTCAATGGGCTAGGGGAAGTTAAAAAAAACCCCACAATTAACATGGCAGACACATCTAAGGAAACAGCAAAGCCACATTTAAAAGCTGCAACAATTTCAATATGTAAAAATATGATTATTCCCACAACAGGGAATAATTATGGCTAATGCACCCATGTACTTGGAGGGCCATTTCTGATCTGAGCGAAAGACCACTGTGTAAGAAAAGCAGTCCCAAATCCAGAGATGTTCCTCTCTTTGCAGAAGACCTCCTCAAAATCTTTCCATGGGCTGCTGTAGTCAAAATGCTACAGCCTGGATCTTCTTTAATTCGTGCTGCAACACAACACAGTGGCGCTATACCGCAAGAAGTCTTCGGGCAGTGATTGTGCAAAGGTTGCCAAACAACATGAATATATTTTCTCCTTCTGCTCATCATCCTTTAGACCCAGGTCCATAGGTTCAGGAAAGGAAAGGAATTCTCAAGTGGTATAATAAGGAGCTTTAAATATGTATATATATAATAAACTCTACTGAATTTCTAACCCACCTTCTCCTTGAATCCAAAGTATGCACCGACAAAGGTTAATGGGACAGATATTCCAAACCACATGGCCAAGATAGCAACCAGAGTGCCAAAGGGAATAGCAGCTGAGGATCCTTTCACCCAAAGAATAAGGTTCATTATGAAGAAGTCAGCAAAGACAATTCTGAGGGAACAGAAGATGACCAGATTCAGTGTTGGCATGGCATTCCTAATTTAAGAACCTAACAAGAACCCAGATGATCAGGACAAAGGCCCATCCAGTTCAGTAGCTTGCTTTCACAGTGACTAACCAGGTGCCCCAACAGGAAGCCCGCAACCAGAACCTGAGAGAGCAAAAGCAACTCTCCCTTCCTAGTATTCACAAGCATTACTGCTTCAGACTGTGGAGGCAGAACCCTGAGGTTCCCCAGCCCTTTCCTAACCAACAGGTGCATGTAAGGGCCCTTCAAGGGAAGGAATTCATTTCTTTATCCTACAAGCAGTATCTATGCCTGCACCAATATACTGCGTCCTACAGAAGCCAAGTTTCACTGTAGCACATCAGCAGCAGCTGAAACCACTACCGTGCAACAAACAGAAGGGAGTCTCAGTTGAACATCAGCTGGCTTCAGGCAAGGATGTTGCCACACTCTGCAGCCTGGGACTCATTGCAAAAGCATTCTTAGAGCCAAAGGTACAATGTTCCATGCACTGCCATATTGGACCAAAAGCAAAGAGGAAGCCAATTCTAATTAATTCATACAAAAATTATATCTTTCTTTTTTAGCCTGGAATATTTAGGGGGCAAATGTCATCTAATCTCCTGCAAGATGGATATCCATGCAAACCTATCACTGTTGTGTATAAAGGCAGGTGGTGGTTGTTGTTGTTGTTGTTGTTGTTGTTGTTGTTTTGTTAAGCTCTGCCTAAGCAAAGCAAAGCAAATCTCTCTTTCACTCCTCCAAAGGGAGAAGGGGGTTGGGAGCGGGGAATCCTGCTAGTCTACAAATTCTCAAAATCAATCCAGTGTACGTAACTGCCTCGGGCTGTTTATGGCATTATGCAAATTTTCTGAACTAGCACAGCATAATCAAGACATCTGTTCTTATTTTGTGCTCTCCCCACCACCCCAGGCAATTATTCAACTTCTATGAAATGGAATTTGCACACTGGAATTTAAACTATCAGCATGGTATTTTGCCATTTTGGACTTTGCCAAGATAGTCATCTAGATGACAGCCAGGATGTACATTTCTGGTTGGGACTTCTGGTATCAGGCTATTTCACACCCTGCTGCCAAACAGTCTAATTTCTAGTCCACTGTCTATTGATATTTTTTAATTTTGAAATGAAAGAGTTAACACAACCATGCTTCCTAAGACCGCCAAGTCCCACATGTCACCTTGCAAGCAGAAACACTGGCAACACTGCCCTAACCATAGTTTGCTCAATGCAGAAGTGACTCTTAACCATCTCAGCATTGCTGATGTGGTCCAAACAAAAGCAGAGCAATATGTTTAGCAATGGCTGGGCTGAAGGAGTTGCTGGAAGGAAGCGTAAAAAGGTGCCACCCAACCGCCTCAGGGACTCCCACTCCAGATTTAGGTAGAGTTTACTCCTTAGCCTTTTCTCTTCCCAAAGATGTCCCACAAGGCAGCGGAGGTTTTGAATCAGATACTCTTGAATTATTAGCACCACTAATAATAGACTAAAAGCCAATGCATGACACCATAGCTTGAAGAGTTTGCAAACCACAGTTAAGGCACTCAAGACTTTCCAAAGATAGTTAAAAGAAGGAGAGGGGTTTTAAAAACAAAGTGAAACAGGAATATCAATGCACTTACAAACATGGGGATCTGGTTCATAGCTACATGCACTCAAGAACATGGAAATGAAGAGGAGCTGCATGCGTACAACTGGAGTAACTGAATATACACACCTCTTCAGATACACTGAAACAGAAGTCACCAGACCCTTATATATAGTGGGAGGGTGGGGTGGGGTTTTTCTCAGGAGGGTAGTAGAAAACGGATGATTGACTCAATGGGTATGGTAAACCTGCTGACGTCTGGTGTCTTCTGTTTCAGTGTATCTGAAGAAGTGTGCATGCACAAGAAAGCTTATACCAAGAACAAACTTAGTTGGTCTCTAAGGTGCTACTGGACAATTTTTTAATTTTTTTATATATTTCGACTGCGTCAGACCAACACCTACCTGAATCTAGAACTGGAGTAACTGTCAGTCATGTGAGTAAGAAGCATAGGCCTTTGTGCATATTAACCAATTTGCAATGCAGAAAATGAGTTTTATAAAAAGAAAGGTGTGAGGAATACTAACCCAGGACACAACAGAGCTGTCAGCAACACATTTGTCTTCCATTTTTCACCTCTAAATGCTGAGAAGAGGAGAAAAAAGTAATCACTACATTTAACACATTTGAAGTAGCTGGAAGAAATTTATTTATTTTTAAGTCTCAATAATTTTAACACTAGATTGCTTACCATAGTACTATGAACTGCTTTGAATCTTCCCTGCTTATAGAATCTGAACCCCAAGGAGTGCTGATAACGATCCTCTGCCATAATTCAAACCGGCTCAATATCCTGTTCATAATTGACAGCCAGGATCCAGGAAAGCTTTTCAGGTTCTCTCCCCACCCTATGTACTTGTGTTACATTTCAAGCAAACCTTCCCCATGTTTCACAACCAATTTGCAAAGGGTCATGAGAAAGAGAGAGGGCACTGCAGTTCAGAAAAGGAGTGGGGAGGTAAACACTGCTAAGAACACCATTTTCTTATTCTGTTACCTCATGGTCTTTCCTGTCCCTGCTAAACCAGTGAAAAATCACTGGCAGTTCCCATTCTACAAAGTCAGAAGAAAGGCTAAGAGATTTGACCTAGGACACCCTTGGCTTTCCACTTCCAAGTATGATCAGTGGAGGTGAATGGGGGCACTGCCCCCCCCCTCGCCCCCAGCCAGCCCACACTTGCCTGCCTTCCACATATAACCAACCCAGGGGGTGGTGCTGTCTGTCGGCTTCCTTAGCCTCAGTGCTGCCCTTGTAGAATTCAGATGGGAGGAGCATGATTGCAAAACTAGATTCAGCAGGCTCTGCCAGTCATTGGCTCTAACTCTGCCTATCACTGTCCGCCTACTGTTCCCCCCCCACACACACCTTCCGCCCTACCAGTCTCAATTGGGTACCACCGGCCGCTGAGCACAATCTCTGTGGTTTCAACAGCCTGGCAACATTCCATTACACAAGGCTTGCACTTACTTTTGTACATCCGAGCAGATACGTAGCCTGCTGGGGTCCCCAGCAAGACCCACAGCACGACGGCACAGGTCATCAAGGCCCCCCTGTTGGCTGGCGAAAGGAATCCAAGGCAGGCAAGGACTGAAAGTGTCAACACAGAGAACAAAAGTGTGTTACAGAAGAGGTTCCCTGGTGTAAATTGGTGCAATGTTCCAAAAATGCAAATGGGCCCCCAGGGTTGAAACTTTCAAAACACAGGGTGAAGACATTTCCTATTTGTCCAGGCATTTAGATCTTGAAGTATATGATTTTCCAAGATATTTACCAACTGCTGGTTTTACTGTATTTCAACTGCAATATTGTGGCTTTTAGCGATGGGAATTTTTTCAATCTGGTTGCTTTATTGACCTGCTGTTAGCTGCCCTGTGCTCTATAAGGGAATAAGGGCAGGATATAAATTAAAAATCATAAATGCGCCCACCCAAAATCGGAATGTAAGGAGTTGCCTTATGCTAGTTCAGACCATTGGGCCCATCCAGCTCAATACAGGTATCTCCCCACTAACGTAACAGTCAACGTTCCTGGGTACCGTGCATATACATGAAATCGCATTTAGTGGGGAAAACCATCTAAGAAGCCAAACTCCGCCAAACTCCACCACAATCTCTCCCTCCAGACTTCCTTTCTCAAACTCCAACTCTCCACAGGCCTCAAAGGTCGATGCAAAGGCTCATGGGGTCAAAGCTGTAAAGGCCCCTGAGATTGCTACCCATTTCCCCACTCTTCTCATGCCATATTTGCAGTTTTCCTGCTCTTTTCGGGCTGTTTCTGCCCCTTTCCAGCCATTTGTCAAAGAGAAGAACAACTACCAGACTTTTAGAAGACATCTGAAGGCAGCCCTGTTTAGGAAAGCTTTTAATGTTTAACAGACCACTGTATTTTAATATTTTGTTGGAAGCCGCCCAGAGTGGCTGGGGAAACTCAGCCAGATGTGCAGGGTATAAATAATAAATAAATAAATAAATAAATAAATAAATTATTATTATTATTATTATTATTATGCAGTTTAAAACAAGTTATTTAATTATTTCCTGTGCCATACTTGTACACAGTTGTGGGGAGATAGCAGCTCTCCAGGATTTCAGGCCGGGGGCGGGGGGAGTCTTGCAGCCCTGCCTAGAGACATGAGGGGGCCTTCTGCATGCAAAGCAGGTGCTCTACCATTGAAATAAGGCCCTCCCCTCACCCACCAAGCTTTTGAAAGGGGTGAGGAACCTGTGGGTCTCCAGCTATCATTGGATTGCAACCTGTGTCAGCCCTGACCAATGGCCACAGCAGCTGGGGCTAATGGGAGTTAGGAGCCCAGCAAGCTTTTGGAAGGCCAGAGGTTCCCCATGCCAGTTTTAGAACAGCTTTATGTCCTGTGGGGAATCCTTTCCCCATGAGAATCACCTGACAAGGAAGACCCACCGCAGGACCCCAGTACTCTGCAGAGGCTTCTGGGACATGTTTGCAGGCAAATGCATGGGAGCACTAGGCAGCCTCACTGAACTGCTGGGATGGCTCGGTTGGCAGAGCACAGAACTGCAAATCTCCAGGTTGCGGGTTCGAGCCGGGCAAAAAATATTCCTGTATTGCAGGGACTAGATGACCCTTGGGGTCCCTTCCAACTCTACCATTCTGCGGTTTGAACTGTATCAGTATTGATAGCATGGCTTCTTCTGAAAGGGAAAGCCTGCTTGTCAGTACTGATCCTCCCAACCAAAGAACCCTTGGCAAGCTCCCAATGAAAAGAACCATGGAATTGTAGAATTGGAAAGGACCCTGGCAGCCATCTAAGTCCAACCCCCCGCAATGAAGGAATCTCAGCTAAAGCTCAGAGTTTCCTGAAACAACAAACAACGAAATACTCTGCCTTAGAAAACTGCACCATTCCTGTCTTTCTTTCTTTTGTGTGTGTGAAGGAAGGGTTGCAGCTAAGCAATACACAGCGTTTGCTTTGCACAAAGAAAGCCCCAGGTTCAACCCTGCTGCATCTTCAAGTAGGACTGGGGATGCCTTCACCTTAAGCCCCTGACAGTCAGTGTAGACAATGAAGCTAGATGAAACAATGGTCTGACTTGGAATAAGACATCCTCCTAGGTGACTAGTCCTCAAGATCTCAGTTGGTTTTGTGACTACTCAGCTCCACTGTGCATAACTGTAGGGTGATGAGCTTACACATATATTTTTTTAAAAAATCTTTTCTCCTGATGGCTACTGCTGCTGCCTCAAAGTATCTGTCTTCCCAGCAGCCAGCTGTCCCCAGGTTTACACGGGGTGGTATTGCATATGCAAAACAGGCAGCACAAGAACACACAGGAAGCTGCCTTATTCAGAGTTGGACCACTGGTCCATATAGCTCAGTTCAGTGAACACTGACTGGCAGCAGCTCTCAAAAGAGCCGCTGAGAATCCTTGTAGACAATGCTGAGCTAAGTGGACCCAAGGTCTGACTCGGCATAAGGCGGGTAAATATTAATAATATTGGTAATAACATAAACACACAGAAAGCCAGTATTGCATAAATAACGATGATGATTTCAGCCAACCTCCTGCTACTTACATAAGGTAATAAATGTCATTATGAAAATCTGCGTCCCTTGCCCCAGGAAGACAGAGAGCAGCATGCCCTTCCTGGGAGGCCTAAACACATCTCCATGGACCAGCTTCCACCCAAACTCCTCCTGGGCGTCCTCCTGTAATAACATCTCTTTATTAGGCATACATCATGCAACAGTGAATTAGTACAAGCCAGACGTGAAATTCACTTTCCTAGCCTGATTATCTTCCAGGTTTTGTTTCTGAAGGGGACTAATTGCATCAGCGTTGTTACTCACTGGTTTTACAACTCCCTAATGGACTGCTGGTTGGGGGTGGGGGACTTGCGTGCGCAGAGGATGTAGATATATTAAGAAACGCTTATCTTGAGGAGGAGAAACAAACATTAACATGCTTAGCTAGAGTGCCGCAATGTTAATTGATATTAAACAAAAGATCATGTTCAATTTAAGTGGTATCGCAAGCACTCGACGCATTTATCCATCTTTGTCTTCTGTTGCCTAACAAGCCAGTTTCAAATCTGACATGAAAGGAAAGGAAATACCATGCCACAAAACCAAGGCCTAGGTTCTATCAGGTGTCAACTCCTGTGGTTTCCACACACTATAGGCTGGCAACAAGGCAGCGGAATAAAACATGAAATCAAAAACACTGTTCCAAATCAAAGATGCTGTTCTGCACCCCCAACACTGCTGAAACATTCGATTCCCTCTTTTTCATCTGGGGTTAGTTGCTGCACCAATGTGACCAAATGTTAGCTTAAGTTCTCTAAACAGATCTTCGTGGCAGAATACTCCTCCCCAAAACAAGACACCCCTCTTTTCAGTCCATATTGTCAACATCCTTAACTTTTCTTCTTGTTCCCAATGGCAGAGAACAACACCTTCATGGCAAAGGTTTAGTGGCAAACTCCCTTTTCCAAACTCAAAATTTCCTTTCAAATCAGACATTGTGTAATGTATCTCAAAGCACTCGGCAATGGGCATCTCCATTTCTGTCCACTTAACAAAAGCCAGTCTAGAAAAAAGAGGTGCCAACACTCACTTAAGAAATACTTGAGCACATATTTTGCTGAGCCTCCATGATGAGATAGCTCAGGGGAAATTATTTTTAATATTTTTAAAGGGTTGTTCTGATACTGTTAAAAAAATGTGTTTCTAAGATGCCCCAATGAAGGCAATTCATCTTTCCAAAATGCACTGGGAGAAATAAAACACATTGGCAGTTTGCAAACATGTTTTTATTTATCTGTGTTTCCACCTGTAGCAATGCATACATGTGATACACCACATATGTTCATGGTGTATGCTATCTTTTTTAATGGTGGATGCTATCTAAAGGCAAGGGAACCATGCTTGTTTCCCTTCAAAACGACTGTTCCAGTCAAAAACAAGTACATCAGAATTTCAATCAAATAAAATTCATTTTCTTAATCAACTGAGATGCATTCAGTCAGATGAGAACCCCACGTCAAAATACCAGGAGTCCTCTACACACCAAAACAGAGGGTATTACCTATCTGGTGGAATTAAAGAAAGTGAGGTGAACATTTTGGACTCATCCACCCAACTTGCTTACTGAGCATCTGTCCATATTTGCTGATCAGCAACTGGTTTGACTGGAGGCCTTTCTGGGAAGTGTGTGTTAGTCAACAGGCCACACAGCTATTCTGAGAGTAATTCCTCTTTCTCTAACAAATTTGCAGTTGGGGAAAACAATGAAATAGAAGCTCAGTAACTTTTCTTCACTTCCCTATCATTACCAATGCAAGCTACATTCCTTATTGAAACGTGGCCTGGGAATTGTTTCTTGCCCTCTGCAATCTTGTTCCTGCACTAAACAAAGACACTTTAGGTAGGGAAAACTTTAAGAAGGATGTTGACAAGCTGGAAGGTGTGCAGAGGAAGGAAACCAAGATGATCAAGGCTCTGGAAACTAAGCCTTATGAGGAGCGCTTGAAGGAGCTGGGTATGTTTAGCCTGGAAAAGAGAAGACTGAGAGGAGATACGACAGCCATCTTCAAATATCTCAAAGGCTGTCACATGGAAGAGGGAGCAAGCTTGTTTTCCCCTGCTTTGGAGGGTAGGACTCAAACCAATGGCTTCAAGTTACAAGAAAGGAGATTCTGACTAAACATCAGGAAGAACTTTCTGACGGTAAGAGCTGTTTGACAGTGGAACGGTCCCCCACTGGAGGTTGTGGACTCTCCTTCCTTGGAGGTTTTTAAGCGGAGGTTGGGTGGCCATCTGTCAAGGATGCTTTAGCTGAGATTCCTGCATTGCAGGGGGTTGGACTAGATGACCCTTGGGGTCCCTTCCAACTCTAAGATTCTATGATTCTAGGTACTCAGGCACCCAGCAATTCTTCCACCCTCCAAAGGTGGGCACTTTCCACAGAAGGGTGTGGCGGGACACATTCTATTCTATGTAACCTTGGTTGGAATCTTGGGAGCCAAATACCTAGGAAGCTGAAAGGAAAAGCTTCTATGGGGTTGGTTAAGAATATAAGTTTAAGGTTCCCCAACATACGAGATTTAGGTGTCTAAATCACTGCTCATGCAGCATATCTGGAAAAGTTAAGCCATGATTAAACTCCCCCTGCAAAGAGACAATGCAGCAAAAAATATTTTCCCTGGAAACCTGAGACATAGAAAGTTCTTGCCGCACCAACACTGCTGCCTTTAAAGCTTGATAGTGTCTTGCCAGAGAAGAAATCAAATTACCTAAGCAAAGCATGAAAGCTGAGCCCCTGATTTGTTTCATATGAAGCAAGGCACTCCTCACCTTGGGAAAGCAGGATTTTTGTAAGGCTGTTCATTACTTCCAAATGACAGCTGATGGAAAGTCTGTATTTTGCAGACTTTTGTTTTAATTAGCTAAGTAAATACGGCCTATTTGCTTAAAGTTTTAAGAGCTCTTCACTGAGGCGGCCACAGGAGCCACTTCCCAAGCAGACCACCTGTAGCTTTCTAGTGAGCCGCTGGGAAAATGGAAAGACAAAGGAAAGCAAGAAATGCCTGGCCTTTAGGAATATGGCTCCCAAGGAAGGCAACAAATGGTTGCTGCAGAAGGGACAAGAGTTCCTCTGTCACCTCCTTCTCAGCTTCCAGTTAAGCTAAATGTTGGAAGATTCAGGGCAGGCAAAAGGATGTACTTCTTTCACGGTGCAACTATCGAATTTGCTCTCCCTAGGGGTAGCCATGGTCACCACCTTGTATGTCTCTAAAAGATTAGAGAAATCAGTGTAGGTCAAGGCAATGAATGGATGGTAGCCATATTGCCTAGGTTCCACCTCCACTGCTGGGGATCAAAATTGGTGAGAATTGATGTTGCACTCATGTCCTGCTTGTGGGTGTCCCAGAGGAATCTTTCTGATCACTGTGAGAAGAACAGGGTGGTGGACTAGGTGGGCCTTGGGCCTGGCCCAGCAGGGCTCTTCTTATGTTCTTGTGTTAAGGTAGGGAGCAAAGTGCCCATCTTTTCTTTCCAGTGTTGCAACAGTTACAGCGGCACATCTTGCCCTCAACCATGAAAGAGGACTGCTATGCTAGCCTCCAGACTTCACAAACCTACTCAGAATCCCCCTTGCTCCAAGGGGCCTTGCAGCACCGGCACATTAGTACAGCTCTGCCCCACCCCTCCATTTCAGAACTTAAAAAGGCACCCCATTTTACTTACCGAGGAGTCAATCTGGTTGTATCTTGCAATATCTTTATGCAAAGTCCTCAGAAGGATCATGGCAACCATTCCAGACAAGAAGAGCACAATTACAAGGGAATTCATTATGCTGCAAGTGAAAAGCAAACCCAGAGATAGTAAACCGATCCCATGCGGCATCAGACACAATTCTTAAGTCTATGATGTGGCTGGCACTGAACACTCAAGTCCAGGGCAGGCGATCATTGACAAAACTAGCAGCATTGCAAAAGTGATTAGAAACTTTAAATAGGATCAAATAGTCAAAACTGAACAAGGGATGGTGCTATGATGAACTGCTTGATGAAAAGTATTTTAGGTTGGGTTTTAGGTTTTAGGTGTTGCCCTGAAATCTCCGGGCAGGACTGGGAAAGACTCACGACTGAAACCCTGCAGACCTGCTTTATGACAGGCTCTTATAATATTTGACCTATGCCTAATAACACTACACTAAGCATTTCATGATTAAAATTTATGTATCAGAAGCACACATGCATATGAACTTCATGCCCCTTTGAACTCCGACACAAACCATGATTTGCACTAAACCGAGTTTACATTCTAACCCATGAAGTGGGTTTCCAAGTACAGACAAGCCACAGTTTGGTCATTTCGCCTCCAGCTGCACATTGCAGATAGTATCTCAAACATCAGACACCAAGGGCAGAGCAACTTCCCAAACCATAGTTTGTTGGTTTAGATGTGAACAGCAAGCTACAGTTTTTCTTCAGCTGTGGTTTTCAAACATAGTATCAGATCCTAGTTTGTGGCCATTTACAAAGTATGGTATGTCAGGTGATATTTGTTCAGATGTAACAAACCACAGTCAGGGTTTTTCAAAACGTAGTTTAATGGTTGATACATGCTTACTTTGCACTGTGTGCCTCAAGACTGAGAAGAGGTTTCCTCTTTATCATCATATTTTTTTAAAAGGTGATGGGGGAACTCAATCCATATTCACTGTGAGCTTTTTTCCTTAACAGTAAATACTAACTTCAGAGATAAAACTCCAAAGCAAATCACATGACAGCATTAAAAGAATGTGATCAACTGTAACATCTCAGAAATTCTCTGAAACGAGAAGATAAAGGTAAAATGTGCCGATTGCTTTTCTTCAGGATACAGAAGGCACATTCTTTGCATGAAACACAATACTTCGAGCAGCTCCCAAGAGGGCCAGTCCTGAGGAAAGTAAGTCCACAAATGAAAACATGAGACGTTGGCTGGCTTGAATGCTAGCTGCCTTCTTTCTAACCACAAGTTCCAATTCCCAAAAAATAAAGCAAGATTCAGATCTTCCAAGTTTTGCTGCAAGCTATTTCTTTCAGAACTTTCAACATCTCTTACCTAAACCACTGGATGTTGGTATGGGGCATGGATTCCAAGATGTAGTCCCATCTCGAAGCCCACTTAATATTGTTGTTCTCCTGCATGGAAAAAGTATGAGATGAACAATGGAGCACTTCTCAGAAAACAAGTCTTCATGCATTTAATTATCACTGGCTAAACTAATCCACTGGGTAAGCTAACCTGGGAGTAGGTGCAACTGTGTCTGTTAGCACCAGAAAACACACCACTAGTTGTAACCAAAAGCTAAAAGGAGGTCTCAATCCATGTGCTCAAGAACTGTCCTTTTCTATAGCGAGGAATGTGCAATGGTGCTGCATAGAAAAATCTCTGATTGATAGAAGGGGGGGCAGTACCTGCATATACTGAGTTCAGTGTGGACACTACAGCTACTGGTGCAAGGTGATTTACCTGTAAAAGCTGATACTCCCAGAGGGCACAACACATCTTGTGCTTTTTAATGAAGTTAACGTTACATACCCAAGTTAAATTAAGTCTTCTTAAAAAGCCAAATATTGACAGGCAGTTCATTCATGTTGTCAAATTAAGAGGACCGAGTGGCTCAGTGGAATGGTAACAGGATACAGAAGCTTGCACTTCAAGGTCATGGGTTCAAGTCACATTCCATTTGGAAGGAAAAATGAAAGTTGTTAGCCCATGACGGCCATTTGGCTGCCTGGACTAAAGCTAGCTAATGGTCTCCACCGACTTCCTTGCAATACAGGTGTCTTGCATCACAAAAACCTAACTTTAATTGCCACCCTTTGGGGTTAGTCTCAACACAGCTATTGGGATTGGAGCGGATATGGAAATCAAGCTACTAAGCCCTCTCTGCAGTTGACCATGCTGTGTCATATTCAATCAGGACTCTCCTCTAAGCAGGCTGTCAATCAGTCGTTCAGTGCCAACACCAACTTTTCATTAAGAGATTAAAGCAGAGTCATTCCTTCCACCCCAATTTGGATCAGCAACTAAATGCGTGCTCAATATAGGCTAAGCAACTAGAAGAGAAGGAATTGTTCCTTTGTGACGAAAAGGCTCCCAATCTCCCTTAGAAAAAAAATCCAAGATTATTCTTGGATAGCACATGGTATATATTAATCATAATCATGAAAAACAAGATCTATTTGGAGAAATATCAATCCACTATTTATGTCATTTGTAACTGAGTGCAGTGTATATTTACGTGTTCAACTGTGGGATGTTTGTACGATTACTTATACTTCAAAAATAAAAAATGAACTACGTTAAACAACTTATAGGCTAAATAGACAGCTAACTCTGAATTTAAAGTAAGTACCCAGGTTGCTCCCCCACTGCCTATAAAAACTGATAATCTGAACCATTTTAAGAAATTATAGCTGCAAAACATCTCTCTTGTACTTACTTCAAATTTCACAGAGTAACTGTAAATCAGATTCAGCTTGCTGTTAAACTCTGCAGAGATTTCCATGGGGGGGCCTTCACAAGACAAATTGTTTATATCCGTTTGTTTATAACTACAAAGATAAAATATAGTTTTATCACACATGATGATGCAAGAACCTTCGTTGCAATTTTTACAGATTCACTGGCATAGTGTTAAATGTTTTGGTTTTTCTGAATCAATTTGCCTGAAGTGCCAAGTGTTCTTCAGAGTCCAGAGACATTTTGTGAATTAAACGCACATTGCAAAAACTTCCCCATGAACAAAAACAATGAATATGGCTTCTGAGCACAAAAACAAGTCTGAATGTAAACTCCAGTGTTGTTTGGGGGCTTATTCCTTCAAACCACAAGCTAGCTTTATTCACCAGCCCCAAAACCCAGGGTGCTTTCACATGCTACTTTCCCCCCCTCCAAAAAAAAGTTTATTAATATTAGCATTAGATACACTGCATGTAAGTGTCCAAGAACCAGGCATTCCAGCATACATGCCAGGTATAATACAATCATTTCACAATTGTCCCCCACACTATGTTGACTAATTCAAGATGGGTAACCATACGCAACCTGAAGAAAGTGAGATCCAAAAGGATCCGCAGAATCAAGAGCAGCATTATAAGGTTAAGGGCCACTTTGCAAGTTACCAACTATCAATTTTTCCTTAAGAATATGGACATTGCTATGTTATGAAGTACCAGCATCCCCTCCCACCCAGCACAACCCAAGAATACATAAGACAGCTATTGCACAACTGAGGAACCTTGAGCACCCCAGATGTTGTGGGACTAGAATTCCCAACATCCCATACCATGCTGACTATAAGCATAGGAACATAATGGCCCATCCAGTCCAGTATCCTGTTCTCAGAGTGGCTAGCCAGATGCCCATGGGAAGCCCAAAACAAAAACTGAAGCACAAGAGCATTTCCCCCTCCTGCATTTTCCAGCAACTGGTATTCAGAAGCATACAGCCTCTGGCTGTGGAGGCAAAGGATGGATGCAACTGGAGGGCCACAAGTTCCCCATCCCTGATGTATCAGCTGCTTTGTTGTGATAATTGCAGTGGAAAAGACACTTGAGCCATTTTTCATGTTTGACAATTGAAAGCAGCCTGCGGAATTTACTTCTGAAAGAAGACTGGGAACAGACCCCAAAGCAAAGGAACAGATCCCCAAAGCATAGGAATATAACTTGCAATGTATGTATGTATGTATGTATGTATGTATGTATGTATGTAGAAGAATCTGCAGCAAACAAACCAATGGGAAGACATTTAAGTTACCCTGCAGCTATGAATTCAAAGGGCAGCTTTTAAAATTATTATTTCAAGTCCAGGTGAGTTTTGTAATAACTTTCATGTTGTGTGAACCTAACAATTTGCAATGTGAGAAAAAAGAGGTCTGGACACCCTGAATAACCTGCAACTGACTCATTGTGCCCCAGTTACAATACCTGCCCGTGAATTGGAGGGTCCTAAACATGAAGGTATGCCCACTGAAGAGGTAAATGGGATTGAAATCTTAGGATTCCCTGACAAATAAGAGAAGTATTAATACCCACATATTAATTTCATGCAAACAACTCAGCTTAAGGTTGTTAGATTTACTATGAACAGAGCTCATGTACTTCTAAAGAGCAATACAGCTGGGAAAGGGTTCGTAAGATGCAACTTTCACCATCCCTGCAGACCTGCAGAAAAAGCAACACCTGTGGAGATGCTTCTGACATCAGAGAGTTGTCAGAAGGGAAGGGAAATGACCATGGTAGAATCTGGACCACGTGGCTCCTAATGCGCATTACCCATCCCTATCTGGTATGTAGTTCACACCCCTTCCCCATCATTCTGGCAAGGAGCTTCAAGACACAGGAAGCAGACCAACTAGAGGGGCAGGGAGAACAGAGCAGAGTTTAACCTAAGGAGGCTACTCTTGAGGCTGAGCCCTAGAAACAACGCTCTCTCAACAGTCCTCCAGGAGTTGTGGGTCAGCACCGACAGCCTGGGAATAGCTACTATAAGAGCTCTTTTGGACCCATTATACATTTACAGATTTCAACCCTCTCAGTTAATGTTTTGCTGCCAGTTATTTCCTTGAAATAGCTGTAAAACAAGGCTGGCCAATTTTAGTTTTATTTTTAGCCAAGCAGCACATGAAAGCAGAGGGTGTGACCACTCCACAATCTTGCACGCACATTCTCATGACACACGTACAGCCCACCCTCCTCAGCTGACACATGCAGATTGGCTGGGGGGGGAGGTATTGCCCCCACCACCATTTTTGATCTGATGATTGGGGTATCTGCATTCCCACCAGGGCACAGAGCTTTGCCCAACCAGCATTGCATCTAATTTATTTTTGATGCTGCTTCCAAAACTGGGGAGCCAGAACATGGTATAAGGCAGCTTTTCGTGCTCCTGGTTCAGCTTGCTCAGGATTGTCCACAATGACTGGCAAATGGTATTCCAGAATTTCAGACAGGGAGCATCCCCAGCTCAACCTGGAGACACCAGGGACTGAACATGACACCTTCTGCTTGCAAAGCGCTGTCACTGAGCCATGGCCCTTTCCCAGTTTGCTGGGGTGTTGGATCAAACAATTGAATACCTCCCCACTGCTGTTTAATGCTAAGTTTCCAGAATGCAGAGCTTAAAAAAAACACAATCTTCATTGTGATTTGAGAAGCCTTACAAGATGCAACTCCATCCACATTTTGCCAGCAGTGCCCTCCTGCTACTTGGAGAGCAGGTTCAATGCCACTGACAGCAACACAGGAGAAACACAGGCCAGGTCAAGCTAAACTCCAAAGGAAAGGGCTAACTTTTTCACTCTAACCCATCTCCTTCCCTTGAAGCAATGTAGATCAGTACTCTTACAAGGAACTATAGGACCACCTAATGGAGGGAGAAAAGATTGCAGGCATTGCAGGTGAAGTAACCCGTATTTTCAAGCACCTCGAACCATTCGCTTACAATATATCTTCAGACTACATGTGGCAGCAAACATCAGTTTTGTGATGATAGATAGATAAATAGATAGATAGAGAGATAGATGATAGATATTATAGATACACACAGAGAGAATGTGTTTCAACCTCTTTTTGAGCACAAAATCTCACAGTGCCTCCCATAAAGACAAACACTAGAGAATGAGAGGTGGGTAGAAACAAGGCAGTGAAAGAAAACTTAACTATGCCCCCTTGTGGAATGCATTACCCCAAAACAATTATCACAAGCCATTCAGGAGGGCAGTGGTTCCCAAACCCGTTTTTTCCCCACCTGAAAATTGCTGAGACTCTTGGTGGATCACTTAATGATTTTTCTGCCTTGTTGTAGCAATCATAATGAGCTGTGCTAAAGGCTGTGTGGTTTTTAATTGCATTTTCGCAGCTTCTCTTCCTTCTTATATAATGCATTTGGATGCATTCCATAGATTTCAGATTGCAATACAATAAGAGAAATAAAATAAACAATCGAAAATACCATTAAAAATCAATACGTGCATTTGGTGCAACATGCTGGTTGACTGACCAAACCCAAAGAGCGCTCGCTATTGGTTCCTCATCATCCTGGAAAAAAGGGAGAAGTGGAGTGGCACAGGATTCTGTGTCTTTATAAATGACTTGAACAAAGGAATTGAGGGGATGCTCATAAAACTTGCAGATGACACCCAACTGGGAGAAGTAGCTAATGCCACAGATGAATCCCAGATTGGAGATTGGAGAAATGGGCCAAAACTAATAAAAATTAATTTCAACAATGATAAATGAGGTTCTGCACTCAGACAGTAGGAACCAGCGACACAAATATAAGATAGGGCACACCTGGATTGCCAGTAGTACAAGTGAAATGGATCTAGGGGTTTTAGTAGACCACAAGTTTCACATGAGCCAACTGTGTGATAAAGCAGCAAGACCACCCCCATCATTCAGCCCGGACACTGAGATCCAGCACCGAGGGCCTTCTGGTGGTTCCCTCATTGCGAGAAGTGAGGTTACAGGGAACCGGACAGAGGGTCTTCTTGGTAGTGGCACCCACCCTGTGGAATGCCCTCCCTTCAGATGTGAAGGAAATAAGCAGCTATCTTATCTTTAAAAGACATCTGAAGGCAGCCCTGTTCAGGGAAGTTTTTAATATTTAATGCTGTACTGTTTTTAACACTTGACTGGGAGCCGCCCAGAGTGCTGGGGAAACTCAGCCAGATGGGCGGGGTATAAATAATAAATTATTATTATTATTAAAAAATCAAAAGCTTCTGGAACACAATGTATGATGAGCTTAAAAAAAAGTTTAACCTTATGAAAAATACAGAAGCTTTTCTACTAGGGATAACAGACACAGGCATAGCAAGAGAAGATCTGAAAATATTCCTCTATGCCACAGGAGCGGCAAGGATCCTAATTGCTAAAAACTGGAAAAAAGAAACTGGGCCAGCAAAAAAGGAATAAACTGTTAGAGTATATTGAACTGGCTAGATTAACAGAGACTACACTAGAGATCACACTAGAGACAAGAGTTTCAAAAAACAAGGGGAAAATGCAGAGAACACTTAACAAAACAGTGTCCTAAAATACATACCTAGATTTGTTTTGATTAATGTCTGCAGGAGACTTTGTGGATATTTGTGGATATTTATTCATAAAGGACACAGTTTATAAGAAGTAAATAAGGAGGCCAGATACAGGATAAAATAAGTCTTCTATTTGGTTGTTTGTATTGTTTTATGTTATGTTCACTGTGTGTTATGTTCACTTTTAATGTGTATTGGGGGGTGAGGGGTTGTGTTATGTTGTAAATAAAATTCTAGTTTAAAAAAAAACAACAGCAAGAAAAGCTAATGCTCTTCTAGGCTGCATCAACACAAGTATAGCATCCAGATCAATATACTGCTCTATTCTGCATTGGTTAGACCACACCTGGAGTGCTGTATCCTGTTCTGGGCACTTCAGTTTACGGATATTGACAAGCTGGGCAAACAAGATGATTGAGGGTCTGGAAACCAAGCCTTATGTATTAGAAACGGTTGAGGGAATTTGGTATGTTTAGCCTGGATAAGAGAATACTAAGAAGAGATATGATTACCATCTTCCAACATCTAAAGGACTGTCACATGGAAAACAGAGCAAGCTCGGAGGGTGGGACCCAATCCAAAGGCTTCAAGCTACAAGTAAGAAGACTGCAACTAAACATCCTGGAAGAATTTTCTGACAGCAGCAGCTGTTGGACAGCAGCACGGTCTCCCTTGGGAGAATGTGGACTTTCCTTCTTTGGGAGTTTTTAAGCAGAGGTTGGATGGCCAGCTGTCATGGATGCTTTAGCGGAGATTGCAGGGGGTTGGCGTAGATGAACCTTGGGATCCCTTCCAACTCTACAATTCCACAATTCTCTAATGAATGTGCTGTCTCCCACCTTCAACCACAAATCCACAGGCACAGCACAGACCACCTGAACGACATTGAGGGTCCAACAGTGGTCCACAGATCACAGTTTTAAGAACCACCACTGTATGGTAAATTCAAATCATACATCCATTGAGCAGATGTGAACAGGACGAAGAGTGTTTCGAGTCTGCACTTCCTTAAGGACAGATTTTAACAGATTCAGTATCCAGCATAAATGGGAAAGTGAACATATATATGGGTAAAGAACAATGCAGGAACAGAAATAGTGGAATGCTCCCAGGGACCTCGCGCCGCCTCCATAAAGCCTGAGTAGACTCTCTGAATGCAAAGGGTTGAAGGAAAAATAAATAAATGGAAAGGAGGGAACTGTGGGCTTCCCCTACTCTCCATTTCTTTATTATTCCCCACCTGCGAAAGGTCGGGACTGCATAAGAAAGCAGGTCCATGTTGCAGGCTTCTTGTACTGCTTAGCACCCCAACACCAAATAGAGCAGGTAACCAAAACAGAACTCAGTACGAATAGTATCTGCCTGTGAACTGACACGCTGTAAATTGTCAAGTGCCCAGCAGTTACCTTTTGGGTTCCAGGCGAGCTGTAACCAGGCGAGCTCCGAGCCAGTTCTCATTCTGCGCACTGTGGTACGTGATCGTAATATCAACGTGGTTGAAAAGATAGTAGGTATTCTTCTTGTTGAACTCAGACTGGGGGCGTGGGGGAGAGAAATAGAGCCATTAAATGCCTAAAAAGATTTATTATTATTTTCAGTATTATTTATTCAATTTTTTTAAATACATCTTACTTTTTTTAATAAAAAAGAAGAATCCCAAGAATTTTAGGAATTCACCCCTCATGGAGCTACAATTCCCAGCACCCAGAACAAACTATAGTTTCCAGGATGCTTCAGAAACAGTCGTGCACTTTAAATGTGTGGTGTATCTTGTGTCTGTATCTTGTGTGGATAGAACCAACCTTTGGAGTCGCACTGAAGGTTCAAGGAAATCAGAAACAAGTTACGGAATTACAGATGCTTTTCTTGGGAGTGGAATAGGAAGCACTACCCATTTCATTCCCTGTACACACTTCTCCTCCATTCAACTGTTCAGGCTCTACTTTTTCATGCACCTCCAGCCTTACCCAATAATACACACTGTTAATTTCCAATGCAATATGTAAAGCAGCCCTTTGTTTCTGGCATATAAAGGGTGGGCTTTGGAATAGTGGCTCAGGTTCCTCTATGAGAACAAAGGTCTTTTCCAGGCTAATGCAATAAAGCTAATGACTCTGGGAAGTCTGCTGTAGAATCTTTGGGAAGAGAAATGACAATTTCAGAAAGCTGCCTCAAGTACAGTGGTACCTCTGGTTATGTACTTAATATGTTCCGGAGGTCCGTTCTTAACCTGAAACTGTTCTTAACCTCAAGCACCACTTTAGCTAATGGGGCCTCCCGCTGCAGCGCGATTTCTGTTCTCACCCTGAAGCAAAGTTCTTAACCCGAGGTACTATTTCTGGGTTAGCGGAGTCTGTAACTTGAAGCATATGTAACCTGAAGCATATGTAACCCGAGGTACCACTGTACTTTATTATTATTATTATTATTATTATTATTATTATTATTATTATTATTTTAAAAACCTACTTTGGAGAATGAGTCTCTCAATCTCTGAAAACCTACCGACAAATATATTTAATTACACTCTCACTACTTGACGTTGGTTATCTGCTGTTTACTTTTCATGGACGCAGCTCCAAAGCAAAGGAAATAAAAATGCACTCAACTATCCTTGCAAATTAAACTTTTAGTATACATCCGCGTCAATGTGTTCCCCTGTGACCATCATTGATTGCTTTCTTGGTCCTATGCCTTGTTAATAATAATAATAATATGCAATAATATCTTTTTAGCCAATGAAATTTGCCACTGTACAAAGAGACAATAAGAAGCCCTTTCTTCCTGTAGATATTCCAATGCCCAGCAATACCTACTGAGAATTCTCCTGCAAGACCTGAACCATCATCGCCTAATTCTCACATTACTTCTGGGCACGTAATGCATACTCTGGGATGGGCAGAACAACACACAGGAGCAAACAACACAGCATCTGAGCTAGCTATGGAATCAAAACTGCGTTTCTATTTTCCGGCCAAACTGTTCCCAAGTGAAAGTGCTGGGAAAATGAAATGTAGCTCTGCTCAGATATTTTAGGTCAACCAGAGACACTCTGGCTGTTTTAGACAGATGTTTTAGGCATCAGTCATGTTGGCTGCAGCTGATGCCAATATCCAGAGGGCACCAGACTAGCAAAGGGTGATTTTGGTTCCATGACGGAGCGAGCTTTGAACACCTAACAGATCATCTCATTCCATCCAAACCCTGTGTTGCAGGAGAGGGAATCCTGCAGCTACCATCTTATCAGGAGGTCTGTTCTGTACCATATTGTTAATTGACCTATTATGTGGTGACGCCTACCCTTTGGGCCTTTTTCCCATTGCATATGAGACAGGTGCTGTCTCTGTTGTCTTTGAGGTGCTTGTTGAGGACTTACCTCTTTCACCAAGCCTTCTAAGTGGAGTTTTGTTATCTCAGTTGGCATCTCTGTCAGATTTGAAACTGATTTTACATTATTGTTTAACTGTATTATATGCAAAAAAAAATATTTTATATATGTAATTGTTTTACATGATTTTACAGTACAGTGGTACCTCGGTTTAAGAACAGCCCTGTTTACGAACAATTCGGTTTATGAACTCCGCAAAACTAGAAATAGTGTCCCGGTCTGCGAACTTTACCTTGGTCTAAGAATGGAAGCCAAACAGAGGAAGGGCACCAGTGACGGGAGGCCTCATTAGGGAAAGCGTGTCTTGGTTTAAGAACAGTTTCGGTTTAAGAACCGACTTCCAGAACGGATTAAGTTCGTAAACCAAGGTACTACTGTACTGTAAATTGCTTTGAGGTCCTTCATAGGAAGCAATTCTTAAATGCGATAGTAATGATCGTGATAGGAACATAGGAAACCGCCTTATACAGAGTCAGACCATTGGGTCCATCTAACTCAGCACTGCCTACACTGGCTGGCAGCAGGTCACCAGGGTTTCAGGCAGCAGTCTCTACCAGCCTTACCTGGAGATATCAGGGATCAAACCTGTGACCATCTGCATGTGAAACAGATGCTCTACCAGTGAGCTATTGTCATTCCCAGCTGAGTTACAGGTGCTAGTATTCTCTTGTCTTTCTTTTATCTTGTAATCTGTAGCCTACATTTATTTTTTATTCTCTTTAATTATAGACTCTCATTGATTATTTAATTTTGGCTATGTTTAGAGGGCCAAAAATTCAATCAAAATCAAGAGTCAGGAAGTGATAATCAACTGAGCCCTTCAATACACAGCTGGCAACCAGTCCAAATAAACATGCTCAGACTCATCCTTCATGACACACATTTTGTATTTCCTTCCCCCATCATATATTTTCTTAATTGTTCAGCAGGAGTTTTTGCACATACCAACAAGGCATGGTTCAGGCGTAACATTTGCACAACCAGCTAAACCACCATTTAGTGCAGGGGTGGGGGAACATTTTCAGTCCCAGGGCCACATTCTATCATGGGCAATATTCCAAGGGCCACATGCCAGTGGTGGGGAAGCAAACCGGATTAGTGTGGCATGCACGAGGAGGAAAGAGCCGCTGTGAAGCTTGGGCGCATACACTCCCCCTCCTACTCCACCCATGACAAGGAAGGTGATTTTTGCAGTGTGTAGTTTCGGTTTCCTAAATCTTGGCTTATCATGTAATGTAACCAAGTAACTGCAGTTTATTCCCAACTATGGTCAATGTCAAAGACAAGCCACCCATCTTGCTAAACCATGATTTAGTGTGACACAAAAACACAGCCAATGCCAAGCCACAAGAATTCAAGAGCAGCTCTGCTAGATAAGACGAAAGGCCCATCTGGTCCAACATCCTGTTCTCACCAGATGTCTATGGGAAATTTGCAAGCAGGACGTGAGCACAACAGCATCCTCTCCATGTGTGCTCCCCAGCAGCTGGCATTCTGAGCATACTCTGGAGGTGCTATGCAGTCATTGTGAGTAGAAGCCACTGACAGTCTTATAATCCATTAATTTAGCTAATCCCTTTTAAAAGCCATCCAAATTGGTGACCATTGTTACATTTCGTGGTAGAGACTGCCTTTTGTTAAGCATAGTTTAGACTTCATGCCATGGTTTGTGTTCAAAAAGTCCAAGCATGCTAGAGTCATACTGTTTCACTTTCCCCCGAGAAATCCCAGATGCTATCCCACACAATAGCCACTGAGGGCAGAGCAACATCCCAATCACTGTTTTCCTTTTCAGTTTTAATGCCAAGCCACTTTGTTCAAGCTCTGCTCTGCAAGCCAGCTTCATGGTTTCAAGTGGTTATTTGGTGGCCGCTTCTAGACCATGGTTTGAAGGACACTGTGAGTTCAGACACTGCTCCAAGTTTTGGTGCTGCATCTGAACCTTCACGGGATTCTTAAAAATGCCAGAGGTCTATATCTAATACCTTATCAGAAAACATTAAGGAAATGCACCCTGACCACTTACATTTATAGTGCAGGAATCTTTAGCTCTGCCATCTGAAGCCACGAAGCATCCAACTGGAAATCCTGGATTACAGAATTTATGTAATTCTCCAAAATCGTAACACCAAGTCACTGGCATGTTATCGATAATCCTACACAAGAAAAATTGCAAGCAGATAATTCTGTTAAGAGTCAGCAACGCCCTCAAGTTTATTGGCACATTTGCTTTTAAAATGCATTTTAGAATTGCATGTGAATTACTTCGCTCTCTTTTATGAAATCAGTATTGGACAAAATTTGGGGTATCTTTCAAATCTCGACAGACAATTTCCATTCCTTCCTTCCTTCCATAGACTGTTGATTTCACAGAATGTATGGACTCACCAGTGATGCTGGTAATTCAACCGCATTCCTTTCTTCAAGAATTCCAGCTTGTTTTTGTCATTTGTATTCTCCGGGTCATAAGACTTCATACAAGCCACTTGGCATTGTTGGTTTTTCTTAAATGTAAACTGATATAAGCAGAGAAGTGTTTTAATATTTTTACTCCATGCAGCTGGAAATGATACATTTTCTTTCATTCAAAATTACACTTTTGTAATCATCATTAGCCCAACCCTTAACTTGAAAGCGGCCATTTAGCATCTAAACACCTTTATGAATTCTGTGCAGTTTTATTTTCTCTTCAGTGCTCCCAAATTGAAATCTCTTCCCTCCTCCTGCTCCCCCAAACACACCCCTGTGCAAATTCCAGGTGCAATGCATGCAACCATATAGGTATTTTCAGAGAACCCTTGCTTTCCCTTTCAAAAGCAAGTTTTCAATCCCTAAGCTAAAAAAGGAAAACACAAAATTAACTGATTTTTTTTTTACTACAATTGGAAGGCCATTGAAGTTACCCCATAACAAAAAACTCCCTGGGGAGGATACAAATAAATACTTTTTAAAAAAGTTTTAAACACAAAATGAGGGGCATGAAGCCACATCTAAAGCTACTCAAAGTACAACAAGTAATAAAATTATTATTATTATTATTATTATTATTATTATTATTATTATTATTATTTATGTGTAACCCGCCCATCTTGCTGGGTTTCCCCAGCCGCTCTGGGCGGCTTCCAACAAAGATCAAAAATACACTAAAATGTCACACATTAAAAGCTTCCCTAAACAGGGCTGCCTTCAGATGTCTTCTGAATGTCAAGTAGTTGTTTATCTCTTTGACATCTGATGGGAGGGCATTCCACAGGGCGGGTGCCACTACCAACAAGGCCCTCTGCCTGGTTCCCTGTAGCTTTGCTTCTTGCAATGAGGGAACCGCCAGAAGGCCCTCGGCTTCAAGAAAACAGCTTCAGGAAAAAACGGGGGGTTAGGAACTGGTCTTTTCCCCATTTTTCCGGTTTTTTCCAGGCCTTCCCATCTCTACTACAGACCAAAACAAACAAATCTTCAGCATTTAGCCACACACACACACCACACACAGAGTCATCCAAATCATACTGAAAAGTTGCATGAACCTTGTAGGGCGATGATGCTATTCGCTCTCCAAACAAGACTTGTCCAAGATTTTCTGAAGGCCTTTTTTCTTCTGCATCTTGACAAAAGTCAAAACTATGAACAAACAAAGAAGAAGAAGGTTGTTTCCGCTTTGCATTACAAGAGTTGCACTTATAACTAGGTTCTAATCTAAATCAAGCATGTGGTGTTCTGTTCTTTGACTACCCCTCTCATCATCCCAGACCACTTGGCTATGCTGGCTGGGAAAGATGGCAATTGGAGGCTTCAGGTTCCATGTCCTTGCTCTAAGCATTTTTCAACTGGTGGATTATGTTGTAGATACAACACAAAACATGGTTTTCATTCATTATAGTTCTAATGCCAAACCATGATGTATATTCTTAATGTACAGGCACATCATGATTTCTGTACTAACTCTCTTCACCAACCTTCACTGAGAACCCCTTCCCAAGCAGTAGGCTCTGACAGGGAGTAACATCCCAAACCACAGTTGGTTGGTTTGGATGCAAAGTTAAACCACAGTTTGCCAAAACCATAGTTTCAAATCACGGTTTCTGGTCACTCATAAACCACCGTTTGTCAGATGGTGTTGGCTAGACCCCTAAATCATCTCAAAGCCAATTCTGCCTCTATCATTTACCCGTGCAAACTATTCCAAAGAAGTTTTACCATTCAGTTAGCAATCATCTGAACACTCTGAAAATTAGATGACACTTTGCTTAAACAAACATTTTAATGGGGAAATGCAAACATTGGCTTAATGGTATCTGGGTATACTTACGCATCATATTCATATGGTAGAACTGATTCAACCGAGTCCAGTCTGTTCACAAACAGCTCTATTTTTGACTAGAAGAACAGAAAAGCTGATTTAGACACTTCGAGTTGAATGTAATAATCCAAGATAGAATTTTTAAAAAGTTATTAAAGAACATTAAAGCATTCTCCACACTTAACAGTTCTAAAGAAGTTATCCCAACACTGTAATCCTAAGCATGTTTACTCAGAAGTAAATCCCACTGAGTTCAATGACTCCTACTCACTAATAAGTGTACTCAGGATTTCTGCACAATGCTGTTATTCTAAGCAGGTTTAATAGGAAGCAAATCCTATTGGAATCAGTGGATCTTCTGCCCAATAAATACAGTTAGATCAGACAGTAAATTTAATTACTTCTGTGTGCAATCACAATGAGTCAAGTCCAATACCTGAGTGCTTAGGAAACTGCCAAGCCAATCAGGCCCTTGGGACTCTCCCCAAGCCATGCTATGCACTCCTTAAGTGCTCATGCCTGGCTGGAATATGTGCCTTTATTTCCATGGATGGACAAAAGAGAGGCAGTGCAGGCAAATGAGGAGGCACCAGGCAGACTCACTGTTGGAAATGCTATCCTATGTGCATACTTTACCAGCCAACCAAGCCACACCACAACCCCAGGCTAGGGATGAACAATCTAAGGATGGACAATTCTAGGGTAGGGGTGGACAATCTCTGACCTTCCAGATGCTGTAGCCTCTAGGAATAAAAGAGGGGAAAACTTCAAATAAGTTTTTTTTGGGGGGGGGGTCGTGTGGCTCCTTTTCTCCTGGTACCAGCACAACCAGTTACTCTCGCTGAATTGCTGTAGTAAAACAAATACAGTCTTGCTTCCTGTATCAGTAGGATACAGAGGAAGTTCAGGTAGCTTATTAAAGGAAAGTAATCAAAGGAGGAACCAGGATTTTTATTCATATATTCATAAGCTGCCCTTCAGCCAAGTTTCTGAGGTGAGTAACAAAAAACAAGATAAAACACATAAAGACAGTAGGTAACAATGCTTTAAAAATATGTATTAAAATATTCAGTTTCTTAAAGAACTGATTGCTACAAATAATTATTTAAATTCTTAAATTAGTCTATGTAAGGGGGAGAGAGAAGGTAAAGAAGCCCATTCCACCAACTCTGCTGAGACACCTGAAACTTTTGGTTCCTCCTCTCCCTAAACAGTTTCTCCTTTTCACCTGATCCTTACAAAAGCTCTGTAACTAAAAACTAGCATCTGAGTGTGCTTCCCCCCCCCCATCCCTTTTCTTACTGAACTGCATCCTTTACAATGAAAGCCTGAATGCTGGCACTGCCTTGTTATCAATCTTTGTAAGCTGCTTTGGAAGACTTCTCCAGCTGAAGACCAAGGGGAAACACTTCAAATAAATAAATAAATAAAAATAAATAAATAGCAATGGTTAAGGAACGCCACAAGGCTTCACGGCAGAGACAAGATGCAAACCTGGGAGTACCAGATTCAGTCTCTCAGCAACTACACTACCTCTCTCATTTAACAGCCTGGCCACTGCCATCCATGTCCAGGTAACCTCCAGATTGGATTACTGCAATGTGCTCTATGTGGAGCTGCCCTTGAGGTCAACCTGGAAACTGCAGCCAGTGCAAAATGCAGCAGCTCCTTCACTCTCTGCAGCAGAGTATCCCCATCACGTTATGCTGCTGCTGAAAAAACTGCACTGGCAGATAATCAACTCCACGGGAAGGCTCAAAGTGCTGGCTTTGAAGCACACAGTCTCATACAGCTTGGGACAAGGATACCTAAAAGACCGTCTCATCCCTTACATGCCCAAGCCATCACTGTGTTCTGCAAAAGAGGACATCCTGCAGATAGCATCCTTTCAGGAGGGCTATTCTGTGCAATGTCAGTCAGGCCTTTAGTGTGGTGGCACCTCCCCTTTTGCAACTCGCTCCCATTACATCTCAGACAGGCACTTTCTCTATTGCTTTTTCGGCACCTACTTGCCTCTTCAAACAAGCCTTCTAAGTAGAGGCTGTTATCCCAGTCAGTGCCTATACTGAATCTGAAATAGTTTTTATATAATGCAACTGCTTTATATATTGCTGCAAAAGTTGGATGCCACCACCCCTCTCAGCTGAGTGGTAGCAAGATTCCAGGAGGTTCCAAGAACTCACACAGGATCTGTGTTCCTTTGAGAATCAAGACAACAGCACAGGCTGTCTTGGCTTTAAGAAATATGACTTATTCACATATTTACACCCAAATTTAGTTGGAGGGAGTCCAGACCTTACAGTTTCTTCTTTTACTTCTTTGGCAATCACTCCTTAGCCAAGTAAGATTGTCTTCCATGAATACAATCTTAACAGTGAACCCATAACTGACTGTGCAGGCCAATTCTGGATACACATGTCCTTCCACAGTGGGGGCATAGGTTTCCAGGCAGGAGTTGATCACGGTGATGATTTGCCTTCCTCCAAGCACGTTTCTCCCTTTCATCCTGAGTTCGAGCATCTTCAAAGTCCATGACATCTTTGGTAAAGGCTGTTCTCCAGCTGGAGCACTTGTAGGCCAGTGTTTCCCAATTTTCAGTATTTATACTACATTTTTTTAGATTTCCCTTGAGAGAGTCTTTAAACCTCTTTTGTTGACCACCAGCACTGTGCTTTCCATTTTTAAGTTTGGAATAGAGTACTGTAGTTGCTTTGGAAGATGATAATCAGGCATCCAAACAACATGACCAGTCCAACAAAAAAGCAATGTTGAATAATCATTGCTTCAACACTGGTGATCTTTGCTTCTTCCAGTACACTGATATTCGTTCGCCTGTCTTCCCAAGTGATGTGTAAAAATTTTCAGAGACACCGTTGATGGAATCTTTTTGAGGAGTTGGAGATGGCATTTATAAGTGGTCCATTTTTCACAAGCATACAGTAGTACAATAGCTTTGTAAACAAGCATTTTGGTTTCCCTGCAAATGTCCCGATCATCAAACACTCTGTGCTTCAATCAGGAGAAAGCTGTGCTTGGCTTACCCCCAGCTAGCTGTGTAAAGCTGCCTGGGCTTGTGATCCTAAAATGCTTGGCTTTTTAATTAACCAAACCTTGCTTTCTTTATGAACTTATGAGTTTGCTCAAATATTAGCTCTTTACTACATCTAGAGCAGGGGTCAGCAAACTTTTTCAGCAGGGGGCCGGTCCACTGTCCCTGAGACCTTGTGGGGGGCAAGACTATATGGGGGGGGGGAATGAATGAATTCCTATGCCCCACAAACAACCCAGAGATGCATTTTAAATGAAAGCACACATTCTACTCATGTAAAAACACCAGGCAGGCCCCACAAATAACCCAGAGATGCATTTTAAATAAATGGACACATTCTACTCATGTAAAACACGCTGATTCCCAGACCACCCCCAAGCCGGATCCTGTCCCCGGGCCTTAGTTTGCCTACCCATGATCTATTCTAGGGGTTATGACAAGTCTCCCCCTCAACCAAACTCATAGCAACATGTTCTTACCACATTGTGAAACCACTTTGAGATGTTTCACAGAAAGCAACTGATAAATGAAATAATAGCAATAATAACAACAGAGCTGTGTGAGGTAAATTAGGTTCAGAAAAGGGCAACCAAGAGCAATTCCCCTATGAAAAGAAGGTGACTTTTGGGACTTTTTAGTTTAGAGAAAAGGCAAGATCTGACATGATCAAAGTGTATAAAATTATGAATGGCATAGAGCAGTGATGTCCAACTTGTCAGCTGCAATCGACAGGTAGATCCCCGGGTGATAGCGGTTGATCGCAGGATCCTTATTGATTGCGGGATTAAAAACAATGTAGAATGAATGTTTCCGCCCCCCGCCCCCCTCGCTCTGTCCCTACGTCATGTTTTTAGTCTTCTTCCAAAGTTAGTTGGCTTCATTGTTTTGTGCAGTTGTTAGCGTCGTAGTTAATGGTTAGCCTTCCCCCCCTTTAAAAAAGCTCAACAACTTTTGCTTCTCTCAGTTTTTTTATACTGGGAGTAGATCGCAGTCTCTCGGGAGCTGGATGTGCCTGGCATAGAAGACATAGCTAGACTTTCTTCCTCTCTCATAACACTGAAAGCCGGAAGATTCAGGATAGATAAAATGCTTCTTCAAGCAGCACGGAGTTAAACTATGGAACTCGTTCCCACGGGAGGCAGCGATGGCCACCAACTTGGAAGGCAATAAAAGAGGATTGGACAAATTCAGGATAAGTCTATCAGTTGCTCCACCCCCACAGTTGGAGGTAATAATTAATTATTCCAGATTCCAGTTGCTAGAAACCACAAGGGGGGAGACTGCTCTTGTGCTCAGGTCCTGCTTCAGAGCTTCCCACAAGCATCTGAATACAGGACTAGATAGGACATTAGCAGGCTGTTCTTATCTTATGCAATCCCAACCATTAGGTGCACCGACTGGGAGAGGCTAGGTCCTACCTGCTTCCCACGTTAGGAAAGCCTGGATGAAATATACAGTGGTACCTCGGGTTAAGTACTTAATTCATTCCAGAGGTCTGTTCTTAACCTGAAACTGTTCTTAGCCTGAAGCACCACTTTAGCTAATGGGGCCTCCCACTGCCACCGCACCGCCAGAGCACAATTTCTGTTCTCATCCTGAAGCAAAGTTCTTAACCTGAAGCACTATTTCTGGTTTAGCGGAGTCTGAAACCTGAAGCGTCTGAAACCTGACGCGTATGTAACCCGAGGTACCACTGTACAGCCAACTGAATATCAAAAGCGGGTAGGGCAGTATATCTAGGTGGAGTGGCAATTAAATTTGAATACATACTTTTTTCTCAGAGCAAGACAGAGGAACAGGGCTGTACAGAGGGGATGGGAGATGCCCTGTTTGGCTGGAATAGGGCTTCCCTAAGCCTGAACTACTGTGGGTGTGACATAACACAGATCTATTCAAGGTCAGTGGGTGGATGAGGGGAAGACAGGAAATGAGTCATTGTGGCGCAATAAATTTGAACGTTGAAGTAGGAAAACAGGGTTTACACAGGGGTAAAGCCTTAAGCAGATACCACCGTCTTAATTATTTGCCTCAGCACTATTCCACCTTGTAACTCTCACTTATAGATCTGAAGGTTGCAACAGCAACCTGACACACAACCAACACAGGTGAACGTTAGCAGGAAAACAAATTCCCTGTTGTTGAGATAAAAGAAATGAGGGAATTTCCCTTGCTCTATTACTAATTGCTAGGCCAGAGACGATGAACCTTTTCAACCAAAGAGCCTCCCAGGAGTCAAAGACAAGTGGAAACAGAACTAAGCGGGGGCAGAATAATGCATGCAAATTTTACCTTCCATCCAGGCAAGCAAGATACCCCAGGCAGGCGAAGACACTCAAAAGAATGAAGCACGGCTACCGGGGAGTGTGGCCTGGAGGGTCTCAAGGGCCAGGTGCACAGGCCTGGAGGGCCACATTTGGTATCTAGGTCTGATGTTCCCACTTACTCTACGCTAGGCCACGCTAGGTGCAAAAGGAGTCACAGAAGCAAGTGGTAGCTCTAAGGGCCTTAGGACAGTCTAAATCATTTAGCCTGACCCATTTCATGGAGTTGTTTCAAGGACACATTATATGCATATATCTTATATTTATATACTTAGAAAAAACCATGTCAAACTTCTTCTCAGAGTATAAAGGAAAGACCACATACAAGTGGCAGCCAATGATTTCATTTACCGTAAATTCCAGCGTATTAGGCGACTGGGCATATAAAACGAGCGCCCAAACTGGCAGCTGCCGATTTGGGGGGGGGGTTGCCTTATACGCTTTGGCAGCTTCACTGGGCAGCGGCAGTGGTCGGCGGGCTCCGTGCCAGGATGAAGCTGCCCAGCGAAGCTGCCCAGCGATGCTAGGCCAGCTTTGCTGGGCGGCTGCCTCCCGGCGCGGAGCATAGCCCGCCGCCCACTGCTGCTGCCCGGTGAAGCTGCTGCCGCCGCAGCAGTGGGTGGCAGGCTCCGTGCCGGGAGGAAGCCACCCAGCGAAGCCAGCTTAGCATCGCTGGGCAGCTTTGCCGGGCAGCTTCATCTCGGCGCGGATCCCGCCACTCACTGCAGCCATACCCGGCGTATAAGACGACCCCCGACTTTTTAACCTCTTTTCTGGGGTTAAAAGGTCGTCTTATACGTCGGAATCTACAGTAAATTCCATATTCTGAAGAATATTTTGGAACACAAAACTATGTCCGCTCTGCCACTACATTGTACAGAAAATATTGGGATAGTGTACAACGTTAAAACATAGAACACAATCTTTTTTTAAAAAGCAGATAACCATTTGAGGAAACTGGCTAATCAAAAAATAAAAACTGAAGAGCTGCAAAGGCCTGCTGGCTCTATACGTACTGGTACATACATATATACATGCATACATACATACAGTATCTGGTTTCAAACGATTTTACTTTGGGGGGGGGAATGGTTAAATAAAGCATCAGGGTGGATTTGATTAAAATCAAATCGATTTAAATCACAATTTAAATCACTAGTCAGTAAGACTTGGTTTAAATAATTTTTTTTACAGAAAGACTCATTCTTGCTGGTATAATCTTAATATTTACAACCAGATGAAGGTTTCATTTTTGAAATAATAAATTTTCAGAGTAGTTTTTACAGTTATATCAAAAATTTGATTTGGTTATACTATTAGAAATACATAGACAGATAGTTATGAAATTATTGTGAGGCTTAAAATGTTAACTGTTTATATTTGGACAACTTTTCTGCTGTACTTTATTGGAAGGAGAAAAATAATAATTTTCTTAATAATTTAAACAATTTATTTAACTAAAACAATAACATTACAGCATATGTATGTATCCATGTTTGATAACTGATGTGGTTAAACAATTTTTTTATTTAAAAAAAAACCTCAGACTGAGTTTTAGCACACATGAAAAACTTAAAACAAATCCGTATTTCCTGATGAATAGCCTTTGAACTATAATGTAACTTAAATAGAAAACTATCTATAGAAAGATTTTTCCTCCAAAAGCATTTTATTTTAAAAATCCGATTTAAATTTTAAAAAATCCAATTTAAATTAAAAAAACACCATTTAAATAAAGAAAATCCAATTTAAAATTTAAAAATCTGATTTAAAAAAAATCATTGATTTTTATCCACCCTGTAAAGCATTGTGCACACCTATGTACGCTGAATACATTTTTATTTATTAAATTTGTATACTGCCCTTCATCCAAAGATCACAGCCTGGCTCACAACACAAATATACAAAATGAGAACACAAAATACATAAGAAAACAAACACAACAAACCAATAACCCCCCTCCCACAAGCACATTTAATAGTCCATAGAATGTTAATCAGCCAAAGGCCTGGTTATAAAGAGGTGTTTTCACCAGGTGCCTAAAAATACGTAATTAAGGCGCCAGGTGAGCCTCCCTGGGGAGAGCATTCCTCAAACAGGGAGCCACTGCAGAGAAGGCCCAGTATTGTATTGCCACCCTCCTGACCTCTCATGGAGGAGGCACATGAGAGGGGCCTCAGAATGATCAAAGGGTCCCAGTTGGTTAATATGCCATGGGAAGAGGTGAATTGGGCCCAGAAACTAATTGGCAGCCGGTGCAGCTGGACCAGGATTCATGTAATATGCTCAAAGTGTTTTGCCCCAGTGAGTAACCTGGCCAATGAATTCTGAACCAGCTGAAGTTTCTGAACAGTCTTCAGGGGCAGCAATAATAATAATAATAATAATAATAATAATAATAATGCATTGCAGTAATCCAGCCTAGAGGTTTGCAGAGGACAGACAATGGAAGTTAAACTGTCCTTGTACAGACAGGGGCACAGCTGCTGGTTTTTAAGTGGACAAGCGGGGCAAGCGCCCAGAGCACAAGCGGTGGCCTTGACCGACCCAAGCACCTTGCCCATGGCTGACCAACTGAAACTCATCCAACACAGCAGGACTGGATGGTGCTCCGGACACCCCTTGAGATTCATCTGCTCTAACACCCGAGTCAAAGTTCCCCGGGGGGTGCAAAAGCGATTTCACCCTTCAAAATGCTTTGCAAACTCCTCAGGAGAGAACTGCTACTACCATCCTTCCTGCCACCTCCTTCAGACCAGACTGGGTAAAAAAAGGTGTCCTGCACTACCCGGAAAAGCTCTGCCAGTCAAGTTCCCACTGTGTGCGTGTGTATTTAAATGCTCGTTCTATCGGTATTTAATGATTTTTTTTTTAAAAAAAAAACCATCGTTTCCTCCTAGGTTCTCATCTGTTTCTGCATTTATCCGTAAGATGCCTTGAGCCCCTTGTCAGGGAAAATGAATATATTATAGAGGAACATATATACACATGAATTAACTACTACTACTACTACTAGGTATAAATTATTTAAAGGGCATGATAAGCTTGGCAGTGGGGGGGGGCTCTTCCCACCCAGGAGAAAAGCTTAAGAGGGGGGTGTTTAGAACAAGGGGGGTACACCTGGGGGAAAGGGGAGGGGCTGGGTGTGTGCCCCCCTCCCCCACCCCGAGGAAGGGGCTCCCCCTCTCGACCCCCCCTCCCTTTCTCCTACACACCTTGCATCCGGCTTTCTCGCCTCCCTCGTCGCAGAAGCTGACAGGAGCCAAGCCCGGCAGGTAGAAGGCGCCGCACAGGGACGCCCAGCCCCCCAGGAGCAGAACAACCAGAGGCAGCGGCGGCGGCGGCGCTCTGCTCCTCATCGTGGCGGCTCCGGCTGTTTCCCGCGGCCCGGCCGGCGACCACCGCTCTTTTGCCAGGCACTGAGGGGAAAGGGAAGCCCAGCCGGGGTGGAGAGAGCGCACGCGCAGGAGGAGGGGGGGAGTAAGCGCTGGGGCGGGGCGGGCCTTCTTCGGCGGCCTCGTCACAATCGCCTTGCGCTCGAGGAGGAGGAGGAGCGGGAGGGGGGGTGGGTCTGACCACGTGAACAGAACACAACGCCGCCGACGCCATCTTGGGTGAGGGCATCTTGCCCCGCCCCCTTGCCTTGTCCAAAACCTTTGTAGCGAGAGAAGGGTGGAAGGGGGGGGGCTTTCTTCCTCCCACACCGCTTACGTTTGCTTTCTTTTTTTGCACAGACTGGTATAATTTTATACAAGATATAAATATAGATGTGTGTGTGTATTGCATAATTATTTAAAATTACATATAATTATTTACATAAATATTAACATGCTAATACTTATGTGTCAAAATGTATAGTATATAATATATAATAATACATGTAGGGGAACCATGCATTCTCTCCTGAATTTATTGGAGCAAGTATAAATAAATGTGATAGATATCTAGAAATAGGCACATTTAAATTGTACATATTTAAGCATTTGTTTGTAGTCTTTGCTTCGTTTAAGTGCATACCTCCCCAAAAAGTGGACCCTTTATTGTTTGTTGTTCTCTCCCAGTTTGTTGAAGCAAGATGTCTGTCATCTCTCTCTCATCTCCACTGATCCTGCAAATAGTTCCTAGAATCATAGAGTTGGAAGAGACCACAAGGGCCATCGAGTCCAACCCCCTGCCAAGCAGGAAACACCATCAGAGCACTCCTGACATATGGTTGTCAAGCCTCTGCTTAAAGACCTCCAAAGAAGGAGACTCCACCACACTCCTTGGCAGCAAATTCCACTGTGAAACAGCTCTTACTGTCAGGAAGTTCTTCCTAATGTTTAGGTGGAATCTTCTTTCTTGTAGTTTGGATCCATTGCTCCGTGTCCGCTTCTCTGGAGCAGCAGAAAACAACCTTTCTCCCTCTTCTATGTGACATCCTTTTATATATTTGAACATGGCTATCATATCACCCCTTCACCTCCTCTTCTCCAGGCGAAACATGCCCAACTCCCTTAGCCGTTCCTCATAAGGCATCGTTTCCAGGCCTTTGACCATTTTGGTTGCCCTCCTCTGTTCACGTTCCAGTTTGTCAGTGTCCTTCTTGAACTGTGGTGCCCAGAACTGGACACAGTACTCCAGGTGAGGTCTGACCAGAGCAGAATACTATTACTTCCCTTGATCTAGATGCAGCCCAGAATTGCATTGGCTTTTTTAGCTGCCGCGTCACACTGTTGGCTCATGTCAAGTTTGTGGTCAACCAAGACTCCTAGATCCTTTTCACATGTACTGCTCTCAAGCCAGGTGTCACCCATCTTGTATTTGTGCCTCTCATTTTTTTTGCCCAAGTGCAATACTTTACATTTCTCCCTGTTAAAATTCATCTTGTTTGTTTTGGCCCAGTTCTCTAATCTGTCAAGGTCGTTTTGAAGTGTGATCCTGTCCTCTGGGGTGTTAGCCACCCCTCCCAGTTTGGTGTCATCTGCAAATTTGATCAGGATGCCCTTGAGTCCATCATCCAAGTCGTTGATAAAGATATTCCTGCGTGAATAAATCCTTTGAATTCCAGAGTAAGCAATCTTTTCAATCCAATTCACCCAACCTGCAAGATCTGCTAACGCTGATTGCCCACCCAGCAGCACGCATTCAGAGGCATACTGCTTCCAACAATGGAGGCAGAGCATAGCTTTCATGGCTGGTAGAAATTGATAGCCTTATCCTTTGTGAGTACAGACCTAAGGATTCACAGGACTGGGCTGTATGAAATTAAGAATTAGGAACCAACTTGAGGCATCTGGTGATGTGGATGTTATTAAGATGCTAAAATGAATGTGAGGCACTGCAATCCTAATCATGTCTACTTAGCAGTAAATCCCATTCAGTTTAGGCTTACTTCTTAGTAAATGGATATCAGACCACAGCTTTAGTCTGGACGGTGATTCTCAATATCAGTTGCTGGTAACTACTGGACAGGATAGTACTTTGTGCTCAGATCCTGCCTGCAGGTTTCTCACTACATGCCACATGTACTTATACAGTGGTACCTCGCGTTACATATGCTTCAGGTTGCATACGCTTCAGGTTACAGACTCCACTAACTCAGAAATAGTACCTCGGGATAAGAACTTTGCTTCAGGATGAGAACAGAAATTGTGCTACGGCGGCAGCAGGAGGCCGCATTAGCTAAAGTGGTGCTTCAGGTTAAGAACAGTTTCAGGTTAAGTACGGACCTCCGGAACGAATTAAGTACTTAACCTGAGGTACCACTGTATATGCAAACATCTAGTTGGACTAGATGAACTAGATCAGGGGTCGGCAACGTGCGGCCCATGGGCCGGATGCGGCCCACGAAGACCGTTTTACCGGCCCCCAAACTGCCCCTGAACCGAGCCACCCACTTGGCGAGTCCCCTGCATGCTGCGCTAAACCAGTGCAGCTCAGTGTGGGGACTCACCGAGCGGCGCAGGAAATCGCATCTGCGCACACGTAGATACCGGAAATCGCGTCTGCGCATGTCCAGGCACCGAAAATCACGTCTGCACATACGCGATTTCCGGCGTCTCACTGCGCCAGTCCGACCCACAGACAATCTCCGTGGGAGTGACCTGGCCCATGGCCGGTAAACCTTTCCGACCCCTGAACTAAATGGCCTCTTCTAACTCTACAATTCTATTCTGGGGGGGGGGGATGATACTAATATATATACCTGCCAGCCAGTGAAGACTAGTCCATTAAGGAAAATGGGGCAACTCCCCATTAATTTCAATCTGGCCTCAGCTAGTCCCCATCATCCTGTCGTCTTACATAGGGGAGAGGAAAATTCCTTCCAGTAGCACCTTAAAGACCAACTAAGTTCGTTCTTGGTATGAGGTTTCGTGTGCATGCACACTTCTTCAGATACTATCTGAAGTATCTGAAGAAGTGTGCATGCACACGAAAGCTCATACCAAGAACCAGTGGCGTAGCGTGGGGGGTGCAGGGGGGGCCAGCCGCACCGGGCGCAACATCTGGGGTTAGGGCAAATCCACAGGTTAGGGGGCGCAAATCCACGGGTTAGGGGGCGCAAATCCACGGGTTAGGGGGCGCAAATTACTTGCCTTGCCCCGGGTGCTGACAACCCACGCTACGCCACTGCCAAGAACTAACTTAGTTGGTCTTTAAGGTGCTACTGGAAGGAATTTTTTTTGTTTTGACTATGGCAGACCAACACGGCTACCTATCTGTAATAGGGGAGAGGAGTTTCAGCTTCCTCCTCCATACAAAACTATGGTGTAACTCAGTGGTTTTCAACCAGTGTGCTGTGGCACCCTGGGGTGCCTTGAAGGATGGTCAGGGGTGCTGTGGGCAACACTAGTCTTTGTCCCTCTTTCCTTCGCTCCCTCCTCTGATGCCCTCTCACATCTCTGCTTCCCAAAGGCTTGCACAGCTGATAATTGCAGCAGCCCCGGCTACACGTTCTGCAGGTGAATGGTGTCTCTGGGGCTGGCCAGGGGGTGCTGGTTGCCAGGAGCTGAGGTGGCCTTGGAGTAAGCAAGCAAGCAGGCGAGGGAGCCAAGCCAGCTAGTCCACCAGCCCTTGCTATTGGGAATGGACAGACAAGTCCCAGATCGCTGGGGACACCTCTCTTGGGGGAGGGGGGCAGCTCAGAGACCGCGGTGGCAGCAGCAGCTGCCCAGAGGACTCCCAAGAAGAGGGGAGAGGAGACAAGGCTCCACAAGAGAGGGTGTTCGATAAAGGGTGAGAGGCTGCCAGCTCTGCAGGCAAGGGGTGACAGAACTGGGCTCCTGAGCCCCACAGGGGTGCTGCAAAAAGAATGTAGTTGGTCAAGGGAGCTGTGGACTCAAAGAAGGTAGAAAACCTCTGGTGAACTGCATAGTTCTGCACAGAACTGTTATAGTTCTGGTTGCCTCACCTCAAAAAGGATATTGTAGAGCTGGAAAAGGCTCCGAAAAGGGCAACGCAAATGATCAAGGGGATGGATTCCTTCCAGTAGCACCTTAGAGGCCAACTAAGTTAGTTCTTGGTATGAGCTTTTGTGTGCATGCACACTTCTTCAGATACACTGAAACAGAAGTCACCAGACCCTTATATATAGTGAGAGGGTGGGGAGGGGTATTATTCAGAAGGGTGGTGGGAATGGGTGATTGGCTGATAGGTGTGGCAAACCTGTTGACGACTGTTAACGTCTGCAATTGGTCTTACAGGAAAAAGCAAGGGGTGAGATGGCTAAAAATAGCTTTATATATGTATAATGTATATGTATACATGTATAAAGGTAAAGGTACCCCTGCCCGTACGGGCCAGTCTTGACAGACTCTAGGGTTGTGCGCACATCTCACTCAAGAGGCCGAGGGCCAGCGCTGTCTGGAGACACTTCCGGGTCACGTGGCCAGCGTGACAAAGCTGCATCTGGCGAGCCAGCGCAGCACACAGAAACACCGTTTACCTTCCCGCCAGTAAGCGGTCCCTATTTATCTACTTGCACCCGGGAGTGCTTTCGAACTGCTAGGTTGGCAGGCGCTGGGACCGAGCAACGGGAGCGCACCCCGCCGCGGGGATTCGAACCGCCGACCTTTCGATCGGCAAGCCCTAGGCGCTGAGGCTTTTACCCACAGCGCCACCCGCATCCCTCGTATACATGTATAATGGGATAAGAATCCAATGTCTCTATTCAGACCAGATCTCTCCATGGTTTTAAGTTTGGTAATAAGTTGCAATTCAGCAACTTCTCTTTTCAGTCTATTCCTGAAATTTTTTTGTAATAAGACAGCTACTTTGAGATCTTGTATAGAAAGTCCTGGGAGACTGAAGTGTTCTCCTACTGGTTTCTCTGTCTTGTGATTCCTGATGTCAGATTTATGTTCATTTATCCTTTGGCGTAGGGTTTGTCCTGTTTGTCCAATATAGAGAGCTGAAGGGCACTGCTGGCATTTGATGGCATACACAATGTTAGAAGATGAGCAATTAAATAGTCCTGAGATGGTATGTTTGATGTTGTTGGGGCCAGTGATGGTGTTGTCCGGGTGTATGTGGCAGCAAAGTTGGCATCTGGGTTTATTGCAGGCTCTGGTACCAGTGTCCGTGTTAAGTCTGGTTGTTGTATTATTG